TAATTTTATTATACATATAATAATAATTAATAATTTTATTATACATATAATAATAATTAATAATAAAATTAATTAATTAAAAGTTCATTTTCGTAAATTGCCGAAATCTCTGACTAAATGAGAAGACCCAAACAACTAAGTAATTATTTCTATTGACGCACATGCAAAGCATATACATATATAATTGTTTATTTAATTCCATTTCAAATTAGATTTCCCGGTGTGCAGTTCTATCCTCTTGTATATATATTTATAGACATATTGATTGCATTTGCTCAACATAAAATAATACCAACATATTTGCACGCAGATAAATATGTATTCTCAGGCAATTTAAGATTGTTCAAATATTGATTTATTTTACTGTTCAATTTATAGCTGTAAACATGTTTGGCTTATACGGGATTGTTCAAAATTTATTTTATCTGCAAAACATAACATACAAAAAATTTTAAATATTTATTTAGAAGCATAATTCGTTCACCAAAATAGTGCATAATTCATTTGGATGTGCAATTGAATTGTTTTAAAATAAACGTTTGTTCAGTTAGCTAATATCACTATACTTCCTTATATATGTTTGTCCGTATCTTCTAATAAGATTATTAATTAATAGCCCAATAGCATATATAGCCAAATATATATTTAGAATAATCATTTTCTACAAATATTTAAGTGTATTTTAAGCCACCGGAGTATGCGTCTTACTAATAATATTTTTTTTAATTTGGACATGCTTGTACATATCCGCGGGGTGCAGTTTGCTTTGTCCGCGATGGGACGTGCTTTTAATTTAAGATTAATGAAATAATTTTAGCTTGCTTCTGGTTCTGCGCTTTACTTCACTTGAACGCTTATAACTTATTAATAAATTTCTAAGTGATTTTGGTATAATCAAAAGTCAATTTGGGCACTTATTGGTGAAGTAAATAATTGAAAAGATTTATGTGTAACTCTTTTAATGAAAACTCATACTAGTGGTCCACATTACTTTAACGGGTTTCTAGTTGACATATTTTGTCGAAAAAATCTCTGCTTAATATACAACAATAAATTTTGATCTTTTTTTATTATCTTCATTTCTTCAATAAATGCCTCTTTCAACTGTCTGCAATTCATAACCGCCTGCAAAATTATTTAGTAATATTTTAAGTGAAATCTCGAAGAAATTGTGATGAAGGTTCGTGTTAAGGGAATTGCAATATTCAAAAATGCCACATGATTATTGCTCACTCTGGCGTATGAGCAACTTTTTGCGCTCAGCATTCGTTGCTCATTCGTGCATAATTTAAATCTTAGTGTGTGTGTTAGACTAAGTGATGGTAGTGACATACAGTTTAAGAAAAAAGTTTTGGAAATCACGATGAATAGAAATACTGGTTACCCATACTTTGAAATGTAAAATGTATATATGTATTATAAAAAATAAATTTTATTGGCTGTAACTTCTAGAGTTAATTGATTAGTCAACTGGCATGCATGATACACATGCAATTCAATCTTTCCACTTCACTTTCACTTTTAACCATTCATTAAAGTTTACAACCAATTGTTTGGACATAAAATTTGCAATTCCCTCCGCAGAAATGCCATTCTACATTTATATTCGTTTTTTGCGTTCACAAAAAGGAAGCTGAAAGCCACAAAAACGTATTTGCAACATAATTACCTAATCAACTAACTACAACGCTGCTGTTGTTAACTAAAAGTGCGAACCTACTATTAATCATAATCCAGCTACGAAAAAGTCATTTCAAACTGAAGCGCAGTCATCATAATAACTAATCAGACCAAAGCGATGATTCCAAAATTGTATTGAAAATGCAATTTCATTAACAAGCACATCACAAGCATGACAAATGTCCTCAATAAATCAAAACAAATAATGCTGAGTCTGCCAGTGCGCTTTTGACGATATATGTAGGTTAAAAATATGTTTAAGTCCAACAGGACGAGTGAAAACTTTGGGTTACCTAACGCAGTGCTGTACAGTCGGTGTGCAATTTCACACTCATCAGATTCATAGCGGTCAAATGGTTATCAAGGGCGCACTCCACCTTCAGAAAAGATGTGTGTTACCTCGCAAAAAGGAAAATGAAGTTAGTTTGAAAATCAGGTAGCTAAGTTGAATATTGATTTTTGTGGTTTTGTGTTGAAATTGTGTTTTGTGGAGATGGACCTTCGATATGAAAATCTCATAGTCTTTATTGGTGACGTTATTGTTTTATTATGACAACTGAAAATTTTGAACATATTTCTTTATGGAATAGAAAAAATTTTTAAAATTTTTTTCTTGCACATATGCCAGGTTGATTCACTTGCCATGAGCTAGATGCAATAACTTTGGCATGCAAAATTATAAAAATTCGCATCTTGGAAAGTTTTTAAAGTAGCCTGCAAAGAAACTCTGCCCAATGAATCATATGAAGTTTTTCCCTCAACAACGAATTAAATTTAATAACCTTTTTGAATACATTACCGCCTAGTTAACGGCGAATTTTATGAGCTTATGTTACACTGTTTGTTATGCTCGTATCATTTGATTTTTACTTTAAATGCAAAGTATGTCTAAGCGTATATCGTAAAGCTGAAAGCTCTAATGCTCTTAAAATTTGGCAGTCTCAAATTAAATCCTTTAAAGCTGTAATTTATGACAGCTGAGAAGTTATAAAAATATTCGCCTGGTTGTTTGTAGTGAATGAGATAAAGGAAAGTAAAATGAAAGGGTTGAGAGTTACAATACATTGGAGAAATTTTTAAACCAAGCAGTGGAATATTGTAGATGAATTTGACAAATGGCAAATATTGTTGATAAATAATGAATAAATTCTTAATAAATGCTTTCATAGGTTGTGAACTAAGATTCACAAAATATTTAGCAGCTTTGCCTGTGAGATCTTCTACTCTAGTATTTATTTTTCGATTTCTATTAAAGCAGCGTATTTCAAAAACATGACAATCACAGGAGTTTTCAATTTGAATAGTATGATCTTGATAAACACTAGATAATTGCTGTGGTTCTACTGGAACAAAAATGACGGTTGTGAAAATATTCTTTAGGTTCTAATGACTGTTTGGCTGTTGGAAAACGAAATAAATTGATTCGACTCAAAAATTAATAATCTACACTAATGTTTTAAATAATGTAAGGATAATTTAAAAAAAACCGCTTTTTAATATGTTTAAAGAGAATAAGTTCTTACCAAACTTTATAAGATTGGGCGAATTGATAATTTAATCAGTCGAAGTGAATACCCAAAGTATAACTGCAGCCATCTAAAACATACGACCCTTCCCTAACCTACAGTGAATCAACCAGTCCAAGGAATAATCACGTAGCTGAGTAAAATTAATCCCCTTTGATCATAAATAGTAACCTTTCAATACAATGTTGACGTAATCCACTTAATTACTAAGCATTGTTCGCAAATGGTGTATACGAAACTGCTGTATTGAAAAGAGCGCTTTAACATGGCTGCGGTGGGTACTTTTTATTTTTTTTGTACTTCTATTTGGGTGCTACATATTCTGTGCATTTGTATGAGTAGAAATGCGAATTTTATGCCCGCTGCCTTTTTGCTGTTATAGACAATAATTGATATTCATTGCAAATATATGCCCAACCATTTTCCAGCCGGTGGTTACTCAATGCTTTAACTCGTCGTCCTTTTTTCTCAATTTTTCGCTGTTTCTTGAAGTTTTCATGTGAATTTGGTTTAAGTCACTTGACCTTTTGGGTTGTTCCACTAACTTTATTTTGTCCACCTGTTAAAGGTGCGCATCTTTGAGGTAATTTTCCATCTGTAAAACGGAAAAAATTCGAAAATTGATTTAATTTTCAATTTAGTGAATGTCAAAAAATAATTACAGGAGTGAAATTCAAAATTTTTTAATACATTTATTTCGGCTTTGGAAATTATATTTGCAAAAGTATATATTATAAATGCAGGTTTGTAACTAGAAAACCATCATCAGATGCAAATAATATTTTCAGAGAGATTACAATTCAAAATTTATATATTTTATACAGTGGCACGCTACAAATATGTGTATGTGGGTGTATATTTGTAAAGCGCTTAGCAGTTCAACGCATATCGCATGCAACCTGCTCTTAATATTAGTTTGCATATGTATGTTAGCATATCAGTAGATATGCCAAATGAGAACTTACATACGTTCATTATATTTAATTAAAACTCAATCGTGAATACCGTTATAATTTACGAATTCGAAACGAAACCTAGTTATTTGGGTTTTTATATGCTTGTAATATGTTATTTGTAGTTAAATGTACTATGCATCATTACAGAATATATTTATGCAGTCAATGAATCAAATATCACTTGTTATATATCGGCTCGTAGTGGAATAAAATTCTGCAAGCACTAAAATAATTGGTTCATCAAGTTAATTGAGCATTCCGCTCAGCCTTAGGCTTGCTCTCATGTATACAATGAATTATCAAGTTAGATGTTTGGATTTAGAAAATAAGTTGTCATCTTAATGTTCACGCATTCATTTATTTGGCTAACCCAAATCGCCATTTTCTATATGAACGCTTTAAGTTCAACTTATGTAAACCAAATGCCTTCACACAGTCACTGGTCACGTAGTGGCTAAGAAATTTGGTAAAAGAAGTTAATTAACAGAATGCACTTACAGTAGTAAATTTAAGAGTAATAATACCTTAGAACAATTCATTGAAGCATTGAAGTTAAGCGGCACTTGATGGCAACAAGTTAATGGCACTACGCAAAGATAAATTAAATGGTAAGAAATAACAAATATTTTGGAAGAAACAAAATTTTTGGGCCCCTTAAAGATAAAAAATGTATATACTTGTATGTACGTATATATAATATGAGTAACATATGCCTGTTCAAAATTCACAAGGAATAAATCTGAAGTAAAGGAAAGCACTAACCTTTGCAGATAATAATCTTAAGTGGAAAATAAAGTTTTACTTTTAATTAATTGTACTGAAACTACTGGGATAGTTTAATATACATATCAGTACACTTTCGGCTAAATTTATTTTCAAACTAAAGTTATTTGAACAATATCATAAATATTTAATATTTCCAAAACGTTGTTAAAAAGGGCTCTGGCTTCAAAATAAAATATGTACCGGCCCTCTTAGATGCTCTTGCTAAGTTTTCTCACTGTAAAGATCGTTATCTTATTCAATGAAAAAAAAAATTTGGCAAGATTTCTGTTACATTTTTTTAGTAAAGTAAAAGAGTATATGTTTACTCTCGGGTTAAAAAATTTATTTTATATTTACATATATCGGTATGTATATATTACCCACATACAAGTACTCGTATATAACATAGTAGTATGTAAATTGCAAGTGGGGGAATCAATCAACGGAATAATTAATCAGACCTCTGTCGTCAGAGGCAACTACAAGTAGACTGCGATAATATGATTTGAACATTTTTGCACACATAACTATTACGGTATGTACTTTTTTATATATTATATGTAAAATATAAACACTCCAGCAAGCATGTACTTTCATATTTATATTATATAACTTACGCTGACATAAAAATTTAAGCATATGTGGGTGTAGGGCAACACTGGCGCCAAAAAAGTTTGCATACTTACATAGTTCAAGTATGCAAGAGGGGGCTTCAACTTTACTAATTGTAGATCAGTGATCATTTAACACGCGATAATAAGATAATAATAATAAGATAATTTCTTCATAATCTTTGGCAATGTTGTATAGCTGCTGTTTAACTAACTAATATATGACCAAAAAATTTACTTTAATTAAATTGGCTTAATCGCTTATTGCTAAAAATATGAGTGTGATGGCAATCAATGAAATTGTTTCTGCAAAGTAAATCCTAAACATCTTTAGACTCATTGACCATCAATTAATGAATATGTAAATGGGATGCTGCGTTCGAGCGAAATTTAAAAAACGCAGGTAAATTATTTCACAATACGAATGAAAGGAGAAATTCTAATCTAAGAAAATAAAGGAAAACTAATATATGTAATAAAAATAATTCCAAAGCAAGCCAGAAGGAGTATTTACAATATTACAATCGATGTGGCAATACTAAAAATATATATTTGTTTATACTAATTGCGGCGTTGTGTTGTTACTATTTATTATCCCCAAAAGTAAAAAGAAAAAATTTTCGACTAAATCTAAGTCCAACTTTTCATTTGCTGCTTTTAAAACTGTAAACAACCTTCTGGGTCACACAACTTACCATCTGCCAAATATTCTGAACCTGAAGGATTCTGTCGATGTGTTTGCTTTTAACTCTGTGGCACTTTCAAACATTCCAATGTGGAGCATATAAGCTTCTGACACTTTTCCAATTTAGATTAAGTGCTCTTGGCACGTGAAAGAGCTTGTGACCATAATCCTTTACTTGGTTGAACACTCTACCTTATATAAACAATTTGGTTTGCTGTTTACTTAGTTCAGTTCTTTATTAAAGCTCTTTTTAGTTGAACAGCAGCAGCATCTATACTAACCTATGTGTTTTTTTGTTTTTGTGTTTTTTTGAGGTGCATAGGCATTTGTTAAGCAATTTAGTAGACGATTCTTAAAAGGTTTAAGTGCTTAAGCGCAATCACAGCATTAAAAGCAAATGCTAATATTTGAATTAAGTATGAAGCAATCTCTAAGAGAGTTTTTTCATCATTACAAATTGTGTTATTGTTGCTTTAGTTTGGTCTAGTCTTTACTCTGAAAAATGTTTACGAAAATCGCACAAAGAGAAGCTAAATAGAGGTCGTGTGTACATATATATATATATACTTCAATATATACCTATATACATACACTATTCAAGAATATTATAGCGGTAGCTCAAAGTCAAACTTGCAACTTATATACTAAAGCGGATGTCTATTTACGTTTATAGCCTCTATGATCTTCAGCATTTATTGAATCACTTTGAGGTTTCAACTATCTTTATGTATATTACAAAAGGCCGAGGAAATATCGTAAATGTCGGGAATATATATGTATGTGCATAGTTCCACATATTTATTTAGAATTTGAGGCAGATAAAAAATTTATTAAACTTTATGAGAATGTTCAATTGTGCGGTTCTTAAGCCATGTAAAAGCTGATAAACTACATAGTATTACTTACGCAGTGTCAAATATTATAAATCAATGTTTAAATAAAAGTAATATAAAATTATATAGGTTAACTTTTATTTATAATTTTTTAGTATATGAAGGAAGTAATTTTACGAAATTATCATGTAACAAATATTACATACACGCACTGTTGTTCAACTAAATACGGCAATTGATGCATTATTGAATTGTTAAATAAACTGGCAAGAATAGTCAAGAATAGCAGAAATAATGGCATAGTTTGAAGTTTTACAAATACATATATTTTTTAGCCACGATTTTGGGGCTTTAGGAGTTGTTACTACATACTCAAATTCAGAACCTTGACTTGCCAAGCTTTCACGTTGCTTCGCTCCGATTTCCGTCTTAAAGATTGGTTAAGTCACACCATATAGCATATACATACCCCAGCTTGAGTTAACGCCTATATCATCTTACTGAATCAATTTTAGTTAAATCGTGGTTGTCGTGAGGATCACTTTTTCTTAGTTATTTAGTTTTTCTTCTAAAAGGTGTGTATTAAAGTGTAAAAGGAAATAAATTTTCTCGAAGAAATGAAGACGAGAAATAAGGCTTATTAAAATTTGCTGGCTACAGTAACAATAATGTGACCAGAAGAGCAAATCAAAAGTGAATTTTATATAAATAAAAAAGAACAGGAAATGAAGAATACCTCCTAAGTAGTTTAGTATACTAAAATATGTTATATTTAAAATTGCATTATATAGCTAGTTGTGCTAGCGCAACTCAATAACATATTTTAGAGGTGCCAATAATTAGACTCGTATATTTGCAGTAGGAACAAAAATAATAAAATACACCAAATTTCTATAATTATTCAGAAATTATAATAAAAATTAGATATTATAACAAAAAGCCTCTGTGTATCTGTGTGTGTGAAATTATGTTTTGAGGAGGAAGAGAATTTGAATTTGGTGTATTTAATACCATGAAAAACAAGGCATAAACAAACACAAAAAGATGAGCTTCAACAGATGCAGATATGGTAGGTAGGTAGATAGAGTGGCTGTCTTTCGAAACACCTAGCTGCAGATAAGCAATAGTTAAAATTATTTATAAACACATTTCACTTTACAGACGGTTAGTAAATGATACGTATGCACAGCATTAGTATGTCTGACCAGACTGTTTTCTACGAAGTAACAATCAGTATGCGTTGTATGTTGCAGACCTCAAGGGAAACATGTCAAGCATGGAATTCTTATATCTAAAATACAACGAAATTAGCTAATTTTTACAGCCAACCAACGCAGCAGCATTTAAAAAAAGTTTTACTATAGCATATCTAATAAAAGGTAAAAGAGATGAGAGTGATAAACAAAACAAAAGTATTCATTGAAATATCTCATCTTGAGGCAACAATTGTGTGGGTAATAAGCTTGGGATTTAGGGATGTACGCAAATGGAATCGAATTGCTTTTGGGTGTAAAAGTCTAGCTAAACTTAAGTTTTAATGAGCTAAATGCTGACACTGTACTCAATTAAAACAAAGCATCAGCTGACATAAAACAAAATGCACTAAATTCCCTGCATCAAATTGGACTTTCCCATTTCTACTACCATTTGACATGTTTGCCGGTCATATTTCAATTGCAAAAGTTGATTTACTACACAAAATTAGCATACACCATTTTTTGCAAAGCACCAACAAATCATGGCTGAAGCAATATGATATGAATTAACTGCACTCTGTATTAGCACGTTTGACATGTCGTATACGTAACCTTGAATTTTATGCATGATGGTTATTAGGGTGGAGCGAAAACCATTTTTTTTTTTGCTTGGCCTGAGGGTGAAATCTGTAGATTATAAAAAAAGAAAATTTTTGGACAAAATAAAAATTGTTTTTAACATCTAGAGGCGTCTCACTCACTGTTAAAGTAAATTTCGATTTAAACTTTTTTTTGGACAAGAAAAAATTATTTTTGGTTCAAACTCTTTACATTTATTGTCGTTTAAGACTTGTTTCTTCAATTTCAATAATAACTACAAACATTGTTTTTAAATTGATAACTTTTAATTTTCCAGAAAGAGAACTCTCCACAGCTTCTAGAACACTTATCAAACATTTTTTACGAAATAAAAATTTGAACTCGAAAATTTACTTTAAAAGCCGCCTTTTAGATGTTAAAAAGAATTTTTATTCCAAAAAAATTTTTTTTTTATAATCTCCACCCTAATGGTTATGCATGACGTTCAGTTAATCGAATGCATTTTAATTTATACGCTTTGGCTGCCGGACAGATGCACGGAAATTTGAAATTTAATTAGCTTACAGTACAGTATTAATTGCATATTAACATATTTCAACTAAGATATTGATTACCACAGTAACTTAAGGCAAAATGTGGAATTTGTTGAGTATGTGCAACATATATCCGCGATTGAAATTATTTCATAAAATGCTGCTGTTTTGTACTACATTAAGTACGTACTACATTAAGTACGTACTACATTAAGTACGTACTACAAGTATATCCTTTTATCCATCGCAGGAACAGAATAATCAATTAAATGTTTATAGAACTTTATATAAAATTGTTAACATTCCACTCATTACTTCAACCAATACAAGTATACCACTTCAAACTCTGCACATAAATTTTTCTTCCTCTTTCTTTTGAATAACGCCAAAGTATATTTCAAAGGAATCTTTAGGCTAACGTAAGAAACAAAAGTTTTAGAGGAAATTAGCAAATGACATAAACTTTAACGATGCGCTGCTATTATTGTCTTGATTGTTAGCGGTTTGTCTGTGAACTTCATATTGTTTGAAACCCGTAACTTCAGCCCTTTAATTTGCAACAATACCACTGTTTTTGGGTTTGACTGAGAATTTTCTTTAATTTTGATGTTTTTCTTTACCTTATAAATATAAGAAATTTTCGAAAGTGCTGATATTCTCATTAATCACTGTATTGCAATAAAACATTAAGAAGTTGGCGGGTAACAAAGTGTTGGTACACTTATGCAATTTTTCGCAGTGAAATATAATATTATTAAAATTATACTAGAACGTAAGTATTCAAAAAATGAGGAAGCTTTGTACATGCTTAGATATTTTCGGGTAATGCATCTCAGTATTTTGCATATTTGTAATTATTTTTAGTCCAAAATCACACAGTCAATGTTAATGTTATTAACTCCGGCAATTTTTTTAATTTATACCCTACTTAATACGTCGTGATACTGTTAATAGCTATAAAAATATTCTAAGCATTTTGAATGCTTAACCAAACAAATATTTTATGCCACACACCCAAATCTTTCACATTAACAACGCTGCGCCAGCGTTCCAGTAATGTTTCCTGTAAGTAGGCTAATTGTCTTTCTTATTAATCCTCACGCTGTTTTATGACACTTCGTTTATTTAATTCTTAAGTTTTATTTTTCCTAACATTCATTTATTCTCCATTATGCGAACAGCATATTATAATTACGCACCGTGTTTCTGTTTTATCATTTCCACACCTACTTATTTACGTATACGCCTAGTGACCCACCATAGCAAATGATTTACAGTGGCGCATGAATAGTACAATATTGAAAACAAGCAAAAAGCGAAAAGGCAAATATGCAGCTAAAGAAGTGGGCTGAAAGAAAACTCAGGTGAAAAAAAAATTAAAAAAAACGACTGCTCGTTTAAATAGCGGAATGTCTGGCATTAGGCTAAAGAAAAATTTCCAGCTAGAGCGCACAATGTGCAGTAATGTGGGTCACTGTGACGACCGCTTAGCACTTTGAAAGAAATAGCAGTTGGGAGAGACTTTAACTGCAGAAATATGAAATAATTAAATCTTCAAGGCCAAGCTGTTTTAAAACGTACATAAACTTAATTTATGTAACTAACTTAAAGGTGTTGAAATTCCAGATGTATATAAATTTTATAAGCCACAATTATGAACATTTCTCGCTCTGTAAATATTTGTATTGCTTATACCATATATAAAAATACCCTATATTAATTCCTTGAATTCCACTTTAAACTATGTAACTATAAATAGGGGCTATTAAAAATTAATTAAATACCTTTTTTAAGCACGTTCGTTTATTTATTATACTAAAAAAATTTTACCACATGCCAGGTTGAATTTATTTCAATACATTTGTTTTTGTGTGTTTTTGTCTTTAACTTCAAATGTATGTCAATATTATACGGCATGCAGTAACAGTCCAGCGCTCAAGTTGTCCCCTACAGCCACATTCTTTGAAATATTAGAGCGAAATATTATTAGCGTTAGTTCTAACGTTCATGTGCAACCGTCAGCATTAACGATATTTTATATAATATAGGTATAACATAAGTGTGCATAAGCGAGCATTTTAGCTTTTACTTACTACTTCCGCATTTGTTGCTTATCAGCTATTGCCAGCAGGATGAAATCTCCTATATTCTACCTACTCTCCTTCTTTATATTCTATTGCTTTCACATATTTTCTTTTGTTTTTACTACTACGCTCTATTTTTCATAATTTTTACTACTTTGATTTTTACTATTGTTGTTCTTTTCGATGCTTTTGTTGCTTTGCGTTTTAAATATGTAAATCAGTATAAACTTCAAGGACTCTGCTTGCTAGCTAGATAAAACTATCGTTCGGGCGCTAGTTTCCTTTCATTGTTTATTTACGTTTACATAGCAGCATGCAAGTTTTTATTTCTTTACATTTATTTTAAACATTTTCGTAAATAATTCCTTTTATTCTTTTCATCTTGTTTAACGTTTTCTTTCTTTTTTTTTCTTATCTGCGTAACTTGTTTCTGTTAGTTGGTAGCATTGTGGTTTTGTCAGTGTACACAGTGCTATTAAAATTGTTGTTTTTTAGCCACGCGAGCGGTTGGGTTGGTTGCCCTCTGGATATTGGGTGAATGATGAATGATGCGGTTGCATCTGTGGTAAATTTGCAGCCAGCAAACAATGAAACACCAGTTGGAATACTGTGTATATATTTACTTCGATATTCCTATACATTAATACATGTGCATGAGTATTCAAGTACTGTTTAGGTCTATCAATAAATTAGTTTCATCTAAGCTATTAAGCTCTACAAAATCAAAGATTAGAAATAAAGGAAATATAATACTTTTTACAAATACTGGGTATTTAGGACTTGGACTGCAAATCTAAACTCTTAACTTTTTTTTAACAAAATTTTTAATTTATTTGATTTCTAACAGGAAGGGTGCAAATGGATTAGAATTGATTTTATAATAAATATTTTATTTTAATTTTTTCCCTATTTATAAAAAGTTCTATTTTAGTTCCAGCACACTTTTAATTTCCCCTTTTATTGACGCCTTCGTAGCCTAATTATTTTAGTATACTCGCCCGCAAATGTGGTTAATACTTGCAGCAGGTGAAACCCGAATAAACTTTAAGACATATCAAGACCCAATCTGGCTTCGAATATTTAATATAAATGATTCCTATATATTTTTGATAAGCGTGATTTAGTAAAATGTTTAATCCAGGAGTGTTTTTGGGCAAAGTTGAGCAAAGGGCAGGGGAGAAACAGCTAAAATTTCCCACTAAGGTAAGAAAAACTCAGACTTACTGATTTCATCAACATTTGCTAGTTAAAGCCAGCATTATTTTCGACCTTTTTTGTGAGTGTTATCTGCTACTAACAAGCCTTCGCCTACAATTTATTGTTTGTCTTTCTTTACTCGTGCGCAATAGGCGCGGCCTTTTACCAGCTGACCTACCCCCATGGCTGCTTTTATCTATGTACGAGTATATAAAAACTAACAACATTACTTCAAGCATATAATGTACACACAATATCCAGTGAATGTAATTAATTCAGAGGTTTTCCGGGAATTGTGTTGGAATTCGGTCATTCGCTTTAGGCTAATGAAGTATTTTTTTATTAACACCCATGGGAGTGCTAAAAACGCACAAATTAGTATGTATGTTTTTTTTTTAAATCAAAATGTATGTGCACTTTGATACAAATAAATTTTCAAATTTTTCCACATTTTTTGAGGCATATAGTATGTAATTATTGCTTTACTTTTTTTCAAAGTATCCTACTTAACATTAATTCCACCCAAAGGTAACATTTTCCGCCAGCTTTCATTTAAACACGCGTTTGACTTTTATAGCTTTATTTACAAAAGATTTCACAGAAATTATCTGCCGTTGAATGATTTTATAATATTTTATATTATGGTATAAATTCGTATTTACATTACATTGTGCGTGGGCACGTTCCGGCAGAATGACTGCCTATTGCTGATATTTCGCGGAGTGGCGGTAATGGATTGAAAAACTGAATGAGTTGAGGAACTTCATGCATAATTTTCGTTTATATTTATTTTACTCGATAATCCAATTTACGTGTGTATATATATGAGCTCAAAAAGTGACCTTTATTTGGTAATAATCGTGTGCTTACTTTGATTCTGCCGATTCGTGGGATGCGCACCTTTTCCATAGGCTTGTAAATTTGCAAATCAGCTTTAGAAGTGAAGCATATGAAGTAGCAGGAATTAAGAACTGCAAAATCAAATGGTAATATAGAGAAACTATAGTAACCAGTAACTTGTCTCAGACATTTTCCATATACATTTTTATTGTCTATATTATATATAAACATAAGTCTAAGAGTCAGCTCACCTTTCTGATGCCATCTTCCGACAATGAGTTAAACGCGCTATCATTGGTATGAAGTTCTCAGAAGCCATTAAAATTCGTTTTCACTCACAACTGCTAACTGGAAGATCATAAATTCAAGTGAACTCGCTATGAAATTGTAAAAAGAAACTTTTATTTAACAAGGTTGAAAAAACTTTAGTTATTTACAGTAATATTTCTTTACATAAGCACGTAAGGTAATTTCATAACTTGAATTGAAAAATTCATACAAATCCTATAGATTTTTGATGTCTTAATTTTTTCCAAGGCGACGCTGAGCGGGATAAACCATGTTTTATCTAAATTTCCTCTGTTTTGTCGGTATATATCTATACATAAAAATCCAACATATTTGTATCAAGTATTCTGACCACTCCAAGCTGAACGATTGTGTGCAGTGGAACACAAGAGTTGTAAGCGCTTTCGACAAACGCTATACTTGAATGAGAATGTCACATTATTTATACTTTTATTTGTTCCACTGCTAGCAAATAAGCTATAGATTATTTACAGATTTTCTGTGAAGTGCGCCATCAGCACAAAATTTTGCGAATAATGTGTGAATAATGCAAGGAAGTTTGCAGTAAGCTCAATTCAATTCACAAAAATTATATACATACTTATGCAGCTAAATATTTATATGCTCTGCTTTCAAGTAATATTTGTACAATTATTCCTAAGTAAGTTGAAAATTCGGATGTTAGAAATAGCCAATTGAGATAAAAAAGAATTTTTACTTAACTTTTTTTTTTGGTGTTCTCAGTTAGAGTGTCCAAGAGTTTACAAAGCATTTCTTCGGTGTTCATTTTTTACAAAAATCTCTTTATTTATCAATCCACTCCACCTACGAGCACCGAGAAGTAGTATTAGCGAAGCGGGGAGTCTAAGCTCGATCATGGTTCTGCGTAATAGCAACATGTGGTTTTATATCGGTTGTCATTAGTCAGTAACTATTCTGGGCATTCTTAATACTATAGAATATAAATTGAAAATTGAGAGTAAAATAAATGATAGACAATATACTAAATATATATATATAATATATTAATCTATAATTTATTTATTTTTCTTTTAGCTTCTGAAACATTTGTACTTTTCACCCTGGGAACCTAACAAAAAACTTATTTAGGCTGTACCTCAGACAATCAAGCGAAGAAATGCAACAAAAATTTACCAGCGTTAACCTTAACATGGACGTGTGTTGAGGCTTAATACTTAAAATGCAACAGCTAACGATCGTGTGGCAGAGACTTCTAAATAGAAAAGTTATTCACAATTAAAATTCCATTATAAGAAAATAAATACATATATACTATTTACAACAAAAAAAAAATTGTTAAATATTGAACATACATATGTAAAATAACCGTAGAAAATGGATAAAATAGGCAGTACTAAATAAGTAAGTAAGGTAAAAAAAGTATTGATACCGACAGAGAAATTTTTTCATTTAAAATACATTTAGTTTATATTATTGGTGAGGATTTCTACATTTATAAGTATATAATAATATTATTTTATTATAAATATTAAATTTTGAATTCCGGCAAAAAAACAATGTCTCTAGAAGTAAGTTTCAAATAAAAACAAAACCTCAACAGCATTTTTCGAAAGTTACGTAAAAATTTTATCTGGTCACCCCAGACACGCGCAGGCTCTTTCGCTATGGTAAAAATGGACTATTTCTACTAGGCGCGCAAAGTTGACTAGTAAGTAGTCACTGCGAAAAAATTTATTTTTCTGTTTTTACCTTTACAGGTATTACTTCGTTAAAATAGAACCGATTTTGTGCACTCAGCCGGTAACCAAAGAAAATGCTTACAGCAATATGCTAATCTATTAATTAATATTTTACATTTTATGGGGTCAATAACCCCTTTGTTTACATTATGATTTCGATGAACCTTTTGTTTACATTTAGCCAAGTCCACAACCTTTTTTTTTTCATTTAACGAAGTCAACAACCTTTCTTTACATTTTATGGGGTCAATGACCCTTTTGTTTACATTATGAGGTCTGTATGGCAGCTATATGCTATAGTGGTCCAATCTGAATAATTTCTTCAGAGATTGCAGCAAAATCAAAATCGAGAATGGATTGCAGTTATGACGATTATCATCCTGATCCTTTATATATATATACTAGGCGCCCTCCGCTGGGCTCCGGGACGCTCGCTTCGCTCGCTCGCCTACGTCCGCCCCCCGCCGAGCGCGAGCTAGCTCGCTCTTATGTTAGTTGATTCTCGACAGCAGCAGAAAACTTTTATATAATAGAGAGATATATAAATCTACATCTAACTCGATTAGTATTAGCTGATAGAAACAACTGCTAGATATTATAATTGTACTCTGTAGCAACAAGTTGCAAGAGTATAAAAACTGATTGCAATAGAACACACAAATTAAAATATATTATATTATTTACAAGAAATATATTCAAGAGAATGACATCAGTTTGCATATTCAAAAATTTATAAATGCAAACCAAATATTTATTCGTTAATCACAAGAAATATTTACCCTTTGCAATTTTAGTAAATATAACATACTTTTGAACTTTTTTGAATTTTAAGCTCAGTAAATGTTAAATAATGAATTTCGAGACCTAAGAGCGTACTATATCTTCAAATAAAGGGAATACCAAACAGTAATAATTATTTGTGGTTGACCCATTTTAAAATTAAGTGGAATACAATCGAAAAAACGACATTTAGTTCGTAAATTGACAATACACACACATATATGTATATCACTCTGTTCTTCTGTGGTATTACCATATAGAAATTGGTAGGAATGAATCAGAAACAGATACAATAGTTCCGTCTTCTCTTTTATTTTTTTTTTAAAGCAATTTCGAAAAACGCCTACTCTGAGAAAGTCAAGATAGGTTTAAAGGCGTTAATCTGAGAATCTGTTGTAAGCTTTTATTTAATTAAAACTCATCCATAACTCAGAAAAATATTAGAAACCTATGGACAACGATAAACCGTTATTTATTTATTTGATATTGTTTGCTGCTGCCAGAGCAAAACCTCTATAGTTTTAAGTTTTTCGTGTTCGCGAGTAATGATGTGACTGTGTACGAGACAAAACTCACTGAGCCCATTAAATTTTGGGAACACTTAAAGTTAGTATTTTATAGTTAATTCTCTATTACGTGATTTGCCACCTATACTCCTTTACTGAAATATTAATGTTCTACTTTTCATAAACGTCATTAGCTTATTTGAACTACCTTGAAACTAGTACAAACCTATAGTAGTTGGCTTATATACAGCATACATCACATTAGTAGCTTCAGTGCCCTCTCCAGGTACCTTCTCCTAATTTGTACCTAAATAGTATATAATGTAAGCTACAACTATTTTATTAAACATACATTTCTATCCTCAAAATATGCGCTTTAGAACTTTTCGTCTAAGCAATTTCTTCTTGTAGTTGAGTATGTCACGTAAAGCTTGTGTCCGTAGCAACATTAAATTAAATCACTCGAATTAAGTAGTTAATTATTTGTGCTCTTTCTATTGCCGTTTTCCACTTTACTATATTCTTAGCTTTGTGTTTCATTTCTCCAAATACCACCATCGTGTATTTTCACAAGTTCAGTGTATTTTTACTTAAGTTTCACAGTTTTGTAAGCAGCAAAACTTTTTAATTTCTTATATAAGGGAGAAAATATTAATAATTTTTTCTAGTTTGGGGAAACTCCAATATGTTTTAAAAAAAAGTATTGTTTCTACTTATGAAGTAGAAATTAAATTTCAAAAAATATTTATTAACATGAACTAAATATTTGTTTACAAAAGCAAACTAAATACTTCAGACTTAGTAAATCACATAAGTTTATTTGAGCTGTGAGCAGTTTACACGTACAAAAATTCCATCTTCATATACAACACACACATCTAAATTTAACAATTGCTAGAAATCAACCTATTTGAGTTTTTTCATTGCATATGTCTATATATATAAACACATATATCTATTTAGAAACAGTATTGATATTTTTCCAAAAGCTTGCCTACACATACTCCTACGCTACGTAAACTGCATAAAAGTATGACAAATACACAACAGACCGAACGGAAGACACATAAATAACATATATACCGAATATGCACCCACATACATACCACACATCATGTTTGTTTACGAAATATTCATGTTTCCGTTGTGTAGTATAAATATTTGCATGCATACATATGTACCGACACGATATTTTTAATATGCAACCTTATAAATGAACCCTGTAGCAAATATGTTATACGAGTATACTACAGCTAGATATAATATTTTCTACAAAAAATTTTTTCCAAAGATTTTTGCTTCTGTTTCATTATAGTCAAGAATTTATAGATTTTTGAGAACAATTTCATAGATTTAACTAAAGTTCAACCTTGTGGACCAGTATAGATTGAAATAATCCAAAAAGTTCTTACTTTAAAAATGCTTAAATGAAACGAAAAGTAAATAAAAATCAGTAACCAAAACCTCTCTCAAATTGTAGCACAACTGCCAAATAAATGCAGGTTCTGTTGCTTAGCTTTTCGATAAAACGTTTTTTGTGGCCTATTGGTGTGTTGGGTGCACATTGATGACACTTGTCCAATATATATGCTTTATTGAAACAAAGAAGCTTATAAAAAGCTTCGAAAATAATATTTTGCGACACTTACTAAGCACGTGTTGCATCAAAGTTGAAAGGGACGCTGAACTTTTTGCTACAATATCTTGAATTAAGAATTTCTTTACCTTCGCATGTAGAAATAATGGGAGCTTAACCAACGGTAATAAAAGAAATTATCGGTAGTTATATAAAATATATTATATAGAAACATCGACTTAAATTAGAAAAGCACAAATGTATCTACAGTGTTATATAACATTATACTCGTGCCAGATGCCAAAGGTTCGTAGATAAAGCAACTCTAAGGTTTCAACTATACGTATATTATTTCCTTTTTGGTCAAGCTTAAGTATTCGCAGCAAAATTTTCATTGCCGACTGTGAATTAAATGAAGAACTTTTCTGTGGCAGAGAAATTTGAGCCTTCAATTTTATTCACCTTACTTCCTTTGTCTCTTTCCGGTAACATTTTGATGATTTTCAACTGTTTTAATTAAAATCAATACATGGTCTTTTTTGAGTGCAAGCAAATATTCAAGGGATGTCAAAAATGTGAAACATAGTTTTACGAAATTCCCCCACACACACAAACACCCGTCACTCAAACGCCATGTCGTACTGCTAGCCACATGCGCTACCTATGTGATTTACTGATTGATTTCATTCGATTTCATTGTATATACGTTCTCCTAAGCGAAATTTTAGCTCGGTAAGCAGTAATATAGCGCTTGTAAAATTCAAACGAAATTTCGGAAAATTTTCAAATCTGTTATGAGCAGTTATTGAGTGTTCTGCCGTATGTATTTACATAAGGTTCCAAGTAGTTGTACATCTTTGTGTGTCCTTGCAAATCTTTTGCTACAACCAGCCATTGCTGAAATGTAACATATATGTTTGTAGGTATTTGGGTACCTGGATTTTTCTCTTTCTGTAATTTAATATCTCATTTCTTTACAGTTCTTTGTTGTTGACACGTTCTCTAGTTTCAGTTATTTTTCAATTGTATCATCATCTGGTTTATTTCATCTTATTATTAAAATTGGTACAAATGTGTTATAAAAATAGCTTATGTCTATAGTAAAGATGTGCGTATTAATATAAATTGAGTATTCGAATATCCTAACATAAATATGTTAGTTATTGTATATATACTACTGTTCTATATATTAAGGTGCAACTAATACAAAATTGTATGAAAATGTAAGAAAAATAAAATGATAATTCTGATTAAGATTAGATTAACAACCCTGGGTATATTTAAAAGTACACTAGACACGATAAAAATAGTGAAGTCATGGTAGGTGAATTTACTTTGAACATTGCCTTGTAAGTATTTAATGTTCTAGGGAAGAAAATTTTATCTTCCTACACCGACTCATTCCATGCATGTGAACTCCTATTGGCCAAAGTTTCAGTTATTATCTAATTGTAAACTGTTTGCCAAAAAATTTTCCCTTAAAGTGTTCTGTAAAAATATATTATTGTGTTGAAATTATACGGCACTTACATGTACTGGTAGCTAACATTTGTCAAACGCTACCAAAACAATTCGTATCACTGCTAGAACTTCCCGTAAAAGATAAAGAAAAGAAAAGATTTAATCAATAGGAATACCTAAACAAATTTTGAGAACTACAAGACTTAGAGAAAAATAAAGAGCACTAAATAGATTTATTGTGCTGGGCTCCAGCCAATTATTGGTGTAGTTGGTCATTAAAAGCTGGTCTGGAGACCGTAAAGCATTTATTAGGGGACTACTTCAAATTAAGATAAATGTGGACTGGATTTATTGTAGTTGGTTATGAGATATATTCAAGTCCTTTCGAAGTTAACTAAAGTGAGTCAGCTAAATGCAAATTTGTAAACGATCACGTGTTCAAAAACATCTTAAAAAAGTTGTTTCTAAAAGTTTTTATTGTTTAATTATTATGTATTTATTTTGCTTTTATTCTGGTCTTGTTCGTCGTTATTTTCATTAATTCACATTTGATATTTTTTCTACATTTTTTATTCCGTTAACTATTGCCTTTTCAACAGTGCTTTTCACTTTCCATTTCTCTAATCGTTTGTGGATTTTATTGCTTCTTCTTTTATTTCTTTTTACTAGATATGCGTTTGTTTCTGCTTTCTGCTTCTTTCGCTGCTGCTTTTTCTTCAGTTCATTTGTGTTTTTCTCTTCGCACAATCTGATTTTCCTTTGAATGTCTTTTACGTTCACAAACTTTATCAGTAACTTTGAAGTGCATGTCTCAAAAATATTTAAGATTGAATACATCCAGAAGCTTTCAGGATTTTACTATTAAAAGCTGATCTATACAATTTCTGCTACTAAAAAATTTTCCTTGAATTTATTATAATAATGTTTCAGTTCGTAAAATAATCTTCACTGACACAATTAAATAATATTAAGAGATGGAAAATTTTTTCGCTCCGTTCAAGCACAGGCGATAAACTGAACGTAAGAAGAACGATTCCAACAATTATATAATTAAATTTACCGTTGCGTGCATGAGCGCGCAACATTTTCGCGGATTTTTACGCACAAATAACGTGGGAATGACAGAGTTTAACGGAATCGCGCAATAATTATCTACCGATGAGTGATTTTATATATATTTACATGCTGTACGAATATACAGCAGTAGTTATGCAACTTAATGCGATGCATAGGCACGTTTCACCTGTATATCAGCCTATCGTGGAAATTTCGACGCGAGCGTTTAAATGAATGAAAGATGGAATGATTAAACGAGTTAAGAATCTTTTTGCGTAACTTCGTAATCCGAATTATGTTTGTGTGTGTTCGAATGTGTATGTGTAATTAAAGCTTGCTACTCACAAGCTTAGCTGTCAATGAATCACTTTCTTTGGCATAATACTCTTTTGCTTACCTTGATTCCGCTGATGGTTTTCAGTCCGGTGCGCTCTTCCATAGGCGTACTAGCATGCACATCTACAAGAAGAAGAACAGCTTAGTAGAATACCGTATGATGAAGCAGCAAAGGGGACCTGAAAAAATAGATATTACAATGTACTTTAATAGCAGAGCATGAACTCTATAAAAATATATAATTTATTTGAGAATAAAACAAAAAAGAACTAGATATTTAAGGCAACTAAAAACAATATTCCAGACGAATATACCCTCAGCGAATAAGTCAGTATATGAGGGAGTATTTTATGTTGGATATTCCATCGTGTGAAAATACACTTGTCAAGCGGGGTTTACACTTGACTAACAATTCGTATCAGTATATGGTGCTTAAGGTTTAAATTCAGTCTAGGATTTTCGCAAAATTAATTTATTAGTATACTTTAGGGTCATAAAAACATTGTTCAACTGTTAGAATAGAGAAAAAGTTAGTCCCTACAAAAACACTATAGTTGGCGTCGATGACACTGGAAGGCTATCATACGTAGCCACTTGAAAATTTAACTCTAGCATTACAGTTACATTATCTAGTAAAGATCTTATGACTTTATGTTGTTACTGCTATTTTTTTTATAAACAGTGTACTGCTACTTGTTTAACCTTACTTCCAGAATGAATTTTCAAGAAAGGATGAAGTGTAACTTTGCATACTTTAGTATAATGTAGTATCAGTCTGAGGTAGTATTTAAGAGTGGCATGATGGAGATTATTCGATTCGAGAGATGATTCCCTGTAACTAATGTTGGGAATCGATGCATTATTTTGACTAAATTTGGCACATCAATATTATTATTTTTTTCCAAGCTTTAGGTGAAAACTTAAAAACTAAAGCCGCTAAATTCGTCACATAATTAATTATGTAATCCATGTATATGAATATAAAAAAATTACTTATACGCATTGTACATAACAGTTCGTTATAAATTCCTGGAAGCTCTTACCCTTTACTTTATGTGTTTGTAAAGATTGCGTAAACACCAAGATGTATATACAAGTATATATAAATTGTAAGTTGCTGTTCTAGTTAATCGCTTGCCACTTTTATTGTCAGTCTTTTGCACGCCCTTTCATTAAGTGTTGTGCAATTGACGCAGAAATCAAACAAATCTGATGTAATCCACTTTAATTCAATAAAGGGACACACAATTTGTAAAGTGTTAATTTAAGCTGACATGCTTCGGAGATCAAAGTTCTTCGCTGCTATTGGCTCTCATATTTTTTAAATAGATGTGTGTATATATTTGCAATGAGAGTAAATTAATTTTTAATAACATTACAATGATTATTTTAAGTAAGTATTTCGTCATGGACGTATGTTCTTAAGCGGCAATTAATCTATAAAATTATCTAAAGCAATTATTTTGTAATAAGCTTATGAAGGGCCAAATTACACATAAATTTAGTACAACTCAAATCAGAGTTCAAAGCATATATGTCTATAATTAATTGATACAATCAATTTCACTAATACATTTCTCAATATATTTATTTGGACCTTGGCGGATCACTTAAGTAACCCCTATATGGGTTTCACGGCTTCTAAAAAAAAATAAAAAATTGTATTGTCTTATTTAATTCTATAACATTTCTAGAATATTGTCCTAAATTCTCAAGGTGATACCAGTAATAGTTTTGGAGATACAGCTTTGAAAAGTTGCGCGCTCGAGATCTATATAGATAGTCACTTTAAACTTTAAACGCGTTTTTCTCGAAACTGTGTTTTATGAAATTTTACACAGGTCTCCAAAATATAATTTACAAGGTCGAGAAGCGAAGAATTTTTTTTTTTTTGTTTAAATACAACTATTTAAAAAACGTTTTGACCGACGGAACCCATGTAACCCCCTAAAAACGTCGCGTGATCGTATATGGAAGATATAGGTTAAGTTAGTAGAGTGAAAATTAAAATGAGGAATGTTTATTAGGTCGAGCCGTATGTCTTTCGAAACTCAATTTCAAAAGTGCTTTTAGGCTCACGTGCCCAGCCTCTACACATCGACTAATCATATAGAGTTCAAGGACCTCATCGCTTATTATTCCAAGTTAGTTTGGAAAGTCTTCATTATCCATCCATATTCAAGTACTTAGTTCTCTTGACGAATAATCTATAGCATAAGCCATAACTTATATATAGGGTATACAGAGCACTATTAAGCTCAGCTTTTTTTTTAAATCAGCTGCAGTTCATTTCGAAAGTAGTCGTATTTGCTCCATAGTCATTTCAATACATCAATTTATTTACACTTATTAAAAGTATTCCCCAAAACGTTTTCAACCGCAATTTATTTACAGTTACCTTGACAGTCAACTTGACTGTCCGCTTGTAATTGCTTACTGCAAAATGTATTGTTTCACAATGCCTTTGTTCTCTAGCAATTCAGCAATAATAACGTGAAAACATATAAGTATTTTTACATGATGCCTCCTCCTCCCATACTTAACAACTCGTAGCCAATATTGATGCAAGTGGCGTTGCATTTCCATTTCTGCTTTACTCGGCTGGTGTTGAAAGCGTCAATTCAAGCAAGCGAACCTTATGCACGCTTTTATGGCTTTCGCAGAATTTCGCTTTCCAATTCATTGAATTTGATATTGTCATGGTGTTTTCGAATCCGAAATGCTGACGATTGTTCGCTAGCTTTACTCAACTTATTTTTGACTTTATTCGGAATTTTATGGGTGAATTTATGTGGTTGTTCTTAAAAGCCAGCAAACTTTAATAATACGAACTTTACTCATATATTGAAATACTTTATTTGCGGGTTCGGAGAAAGCTTACGAGGAGAGCCATAAATATTTTACAGTTATTGGAAAATAATGTACATATGTTATTGTCGACTAGGCGGAAATTTGGTTCATAATATTACCTATGTATACTATCTCTGATGAAAAAAAAGACATATATATTTTTCATGATTTTATTTCTATTTTGATTTTCAAACCTTGTTCCGCTGCGATTTGAAGTACATAATTGCGGAATATGTTAAAATAATCTTTAAAGTTATGTTCTGCAATATTTAGAACTTCAAACCATTCCGAGAACATACCATATTTCACTTACTATAACCTCACTTCCGAATCGAAACCGACAATGCTTAATGCTGCTTGCTATAAATATTTCGTTCTTTCAAAGTCAGTTTTTCATATCTAAAGAAATCGAACTGTAAATAATGAATTTATGTACACTTCGATTGTAGCTCCATTTATAAGACAATCATTATATGCGCTTAATCGGCTTTTGATGTTTTATGAACTTCAAAAGATATTATTTTACTTAGCGGATTAATTACCGCACTATGTTTTTCTCAATTCCTTGCCAATGATTGTATATTCTTCTATTCATTTTTGGTTCTCTCTAAGAGTTCTCTTCGGTATTTAATTAACCTTATTTTCTAGAATGTTTACAATCAATGCACCCGTCTGCGTGTTAAATTCGACAAATAAAACCAAATACAAAACAAATTAATACCATCATTGAAGCAGTATACTCGACCAATGGACAAGTAGGTGGTAGCGTAAACCTGTAAAAAGGTGGGCGGCTGAGTGCAAATAACGCTAATTGCGAAGCGTCGTGTGGTTATTCAAATAAAAGACAATTTACAGGCAACAATACTGGAAATAGTCACGCGTAAATCTGTTACAGTTATTTGCTGTGCACTTGAAGAGCGCAAGTCAACACTTTCTGCCATGTAATTAATTAAATAAAATTTCAGTTTAATTTTTATTTAATCTCTAGAGCTTGAAAATAAATAACTACAAAAAGGCAGTTATATTTACACGTTTAAATTTATGCTAAACAGAACGTGACATAAAACCTTATTAGAAAATAGGGAGTAGGAGCTTTTTTTGCATATTAACATGATATACGATACCTGCTAATATTTTAACTTTAACTCCAGTATATTTTACCTTATGTTCTTCATTTTCATTTCTTCATTCTTCATTTCTTCATTTTTCATTTCACTGTGTGCTAAAAGGACGCAACAACAAAAACTTAAATTTTTTTTTGCTAAACTCGTCAACTGGAAAAGTTTGAGCTATCTTAAGGCTTTAACCAATATTTTCCTCAAAACTTAAGAGCGTACTTCTACTATCGAAAAGCTTCCTATGGCCTACGTTGGCTGCCCTAATATATTTTACAGAAGTACTTCACTTCTTTCTCGTTTCAAAATTCTTCTTATATTACTGTTTAACATGCTATTTGGCTTTGATTTAAAATTCGTACACTCAACTCTGTACCCGAACTATCATGTAATACTTTTGAGTTTGAGTTTTTACTGTTTTTTCAATGATTGCCGGCATATGCGATATATTGAAAGCGCAAGCTCATAAACTGCGAATTCGCGGTTAAATACAAATATGATTAAGTACAAATAAATAGCCTCGCATTTATGAGTTATATGCGAATGCCAATAAACAATAAGAAAGTTGTGCAAACTTATTTCGTTAACACTTGCTAATGACTTTCAGAGTTCAACGCATTTGGCTGTCGTTTGTGTATTCAAATATACAGTTATTTGAAAATATTATATATGAACTGAGAATGAAATGCATGACAATTGCTGCTGCTTGACTATATAATTCAAATAAATATTTTCATTGCGAAAAGTTTGTTGATAAACTTTAAGAAATCTCGTAGTTTCAACGAAAAGTTACCTAATCGAATGAGGTGTTATACAATTACGAACAAAGAAAAAACAATAATAATAAATACAGTTGCACACGTTAACAAATTCTAAACACAACCACATAGTTGTTGTCCTGAGGTAATAATTTTATTGAAGAAAAAGTTTTAGTACGGCGAATAACAAATCGTTGTAGCATATACTGTTAATAACACTAAGTACATACATAGTAAGTAAGGTATTTGCACAGTGGTTTGGTTTTTTTCAAAAAATATTTTGATTTTGTGAACTAAAATTGTAGAAAAGCAATTAGCAAAAAAAAACCACAGTAATTTTCTTTTGCGCTCGAGAACTATATGTAGTATATTGTAATTTGATAACACGCAGACTTTTTAAAAGTTATACTATGTCATTCTAATAACCTCTTTGCAAGTAATTAGTTCACCATGAGC